GGGCGGGTCTCTGGTGTGGCATCATGCAGGACCCGTGCCTTCGACTGAGAGGCCAAAGCTCAGGAGTTGCATCTACACAGAAGCAGTGTCAATATCCACAAACATCAGTCCAGGAATTTAAAAAAAGCCCCTCTGGTACATTGGTCTCAAGAGCCCAAGGCTTTATTTAGAGCAACGGCAAAAGTCACTGCACTAAGGAAACAACAAACAACTCGGGACCTTTATTCTTGCTCTACTTCCCTGAATTGTTACTTACAGGTTCCCTTCCATCCATGGCTTCCATCCAGAGCCTCCGGTCCTCTTCAGACAATGCCTGCATGGTGATAACTCCAGGCCTGCAGAGAAATGAGGACACGGATGTGAACCCAGCGCCACAGGTAGAGAGATCCTCATGAAGGCGAGCCTTAAAGAAACATCTAAGTGACCAAGTGAGAGCCTGCTGGGGTTGACGGCACAGAGAGAGAGAGCACCCCTCAGCTCTTCAGCCTCAGAAAGCAAAGCTATCACCCCCAAATCCCTCAGGGAGGTGGGAGGAAACACAGAAGACAGGACTCTACGTACAGGTAAGGGACACAGAGGAGTCAAGAGATTCCCTTCGGCGTTTGAGATCATATTCATTCCTCTTCTCCAAGATGCTTACTAGGGTACTTTACTCCCAGTAGGAGTACAATAAACACGTTCTTAAGTGAAGAGAATTACTGGACTCAATAAAAAGAGGGGGAACATCCACGCTGGAGGGATCCTGGTCTAATATCTAGCCCAATGATTCTAAACTGCTTTTGACATGAAAAAGTCTTACGGGGGTAAATGGGTGTTATCATTACGATTATACTAAATGTATACAGCATTTTTAAGTGAATCTTTACCATGGCAGATGCTAAGGTCTTTACATGCATCAGCTCTTTTCACTCTCTCCTTGAAATCTGCTTGTTCTTTCAAATTGAGCACAAATCCTTCAGAAAGCATGCACACAATATCAAATGGTGTTTGTTGCGTACCCCTTACAGATGTCACACAAGAAGAGGTGTGTGCCACAAACACGAACTTGTGAGAAGGGGCTACAAGCCCTCTACGCTCATTAATGCAGGAGTTCTTGACTTAGGGTCCACAGATGGGTCTCAGAAAGTCTATAAGCCACCCTCCCACACCAAATGTATATGTATTTTTCTGGACAAACAATTCAAACTGCAACCCATAAACAGCTAAGAATTAGTGACTCAAATCCTCATCTTTAAAGTTTGAGAAAGCCTAAAAGGAAGGCCAAAGTCCACTGACCAAGAATTAAGACGGCAGCACTGCTCAGGATCTCTCTCTCTCACACACACACACACACACACACACACACACACACACACACACACAGAGAAACAAGCTCCACGATGCCCTGCGCAGCAAAAGCCTGGGCCCACAAGCACCAAAGCCTGTTCATTCAACCCACCTAGAGTCGCTGTTTCTGGCTTATTTCCATAGTTCCAATGAATAGGCTAGATCTATTAATACTTATGTTGAATGTATTTTAAATATCACATTTGTTTCTTTTCAGTCATCATTCCTCAACATCCCTGAAGAAAAAAAGTTTTCAAAGATGTGAACATGTAAGTAGAGATGGGCCGGGGATGAGGGGCACTGGGGTGCGGGTGTGAGTGCGTGAGGTGGTGAACGAGGTGGGGGGGGGAGGGACAGAGAGACAGGGAGGGAGGAGCAGTGGGGGGGGGGGGGGGGAGGTTAGGGTTACGATTAGGGAACGGGGACGGTATAGGGTACAGGTTAGGGCACGA